CCTTGAAAATTAAGACTAATTGAATCCGCCATTTTGGTATAATTTAAACGGGAAGCCTCGAATTGTATTTAAATGGGACTGACAGAATTATTCAACACTCGTTTGTATATATATATATATATTATATTATTATATACGGTGGTGTGTAAAGAGACCGGAATCCGTTGCGCGTTCATTATAATATGATTGATAAGGAAACCCAAATGCCTCGAGAATTTATCAACGAACGTTTGTCCTAAATATGATTAAAGACCGCCGTAGTAGGCATAACTCACGTGTATGTAGTAGATAATAAACGTATAACTTAGTTGTTGTAGTATGTATTTCGTTTAAATTGGATGAAGGTATAATGATTATCCTTAGTAATAGTAGTAATGTGGTAAGTGTACTAAATACTGTATAAAAGTATACTCTTACGGTTTATATTAGTATATTTTATAAGCATGGCCGGTGAACAATTAGAATATCAAATACTTTTGGCCCGAAAGATAACGGCTCGGAATGATGAATGGAAATAAATGTATTCGTAAATCATTAAAATGTATAATGAAAACGTCAACTAAGTTAAAATCGGATGTAATAATTTGATGTATAATTAGCTATATAATAGCATTGGTACAGTACCAATAAATAATATTACGGTTTACCATTTTATATGTGCCTATATGATTGTCATAATATATAGGTTACATATTATTAGCAATTATTAAATACTCAAAGAACATAATTTTTTAGATTTGTACACTGTTTAAGTAGTGACAATACAAAATTCTTTTTTTTAATTGAAAACTTCCTTTACAATAAACAGTTAAGCAGATAATTTTTTTTTGTTTATTTTGATGTGACTGAATCAAAATTCGAACAAGTAATTTCTGAGTAATTTAATTTTAAAAAGAGAAGTTAGAAAGTATCATAAAAAAATAGTCATTAGTAGTATAAAAATCTAAGTATTTGAAAATATACTCTTTAAGTGAAATTAAAAATCTTAAAAGTTATAATTGAAATACACATATACTAAAGAATAAATAGAGAATGATCATACTTGTTGAATCACCTAACACTTGTTATTATTATATAAATATATAATAATAGTACGACTCATGATGATATAATTGATATTATTAGCTTTAAGGGTACGCAAATCCTAGTAATATGTTAAGAAGTTTTACTGTAATATTTAGTGAATAATAAGTAAAATCAACTCATCCTCTACAAGTTTTTACTACCTAATAATAAGGTAATTAAGCTGCTTATTTCTATATCATTACCATAAAACATTTATTATATTATAGAGTTTTGATGGTGCGTAAAATTATTTATTTTCATTTGTTTCATTATATGAAGGAATACAATAAAGTAACTAAAATAAATGAAGTAACATTAATTTATTAATTGTTAATTAATATTCTGATGATTGGTCAAGGTATACTTAAATTATAATAATATCATATTGTGATAAAACCTTCATGCTAGGGTCAATGGCATATCCTTACAAAATATTAATCACGTACATTTTCTGAACAATATATCTATTGAAATATTGTTTACATAGTGAAGATGTGAAAACATACTTACATTGTATACACATGGGCTATGAGCTACCAATATGTCATATTTTGAGGGTATGCATAAAATTTTAATTAAACCGAGTAGAATCATTTTTTATGTTTTTATATTTATTTGAATCCAAGGAAAATCTACGAGAGTTTAAAACTAATTTTTTGGAAAGTAAATATCCAAGTGTATTAGTAATTGCACTTGGCTTGATTACTAATGCTTGAGTTAAAATTATTTGGTTTTATATTACTAAAAATAAATTTATTTGATATTATGATATCAGCTAAATTAATATATATTATAATGAAATGCGCATCTTTAAATCTTTAGTTCTTTTATAAAAATAATTCGCAATTATAAAATTATAACACTCTAATTAATTTGTTTTTTAAGATAATATGGTATTTTTTATTTGTATTATACAATGAATTTATTATAAAATAGAATTACTTACAGATTGAAATATTAATTAATTATAAGATCATTGCATTATGGGGAAGGTTAAATATGTTTTGGATTACTATTCAAACGATAAGAGTTTATAAGCGCAATAAAGTATTTTCTATGATTTTGTTTTATTGATTTTCTTTGTTAGTATGTATTATTTTAACGTTCTATAATTGCATCAATTTGTATTTATGTATTATTTTTCTAAAAAAAAAAAATAAATTTACACTATCAGTTTACTAAGAAAAAAATATTCATTACAATATGTTCATACTTAATTTAATATATTAACAACCTAAATAGTATTATATTAAAATCTAACAATGAAAAATATATTTTTTATTTTTATTACACTCAAAAATTGAAGTATAAGAATGAATGTATTTTTTAAGTAATTATTCATCTAAAAACCTTAAAATATTTAAAGTTATTGTATAACACTTTAGAGGTTACATTGGTTTTAACCCTTTTCAGGATTTAAACTCATTGTGTATTATTATGCGTGTCAAATAACATGTTTCCTTCCGCTGTGGATTTAGTACCATATAAGTACCTATATGAAGCTCTATGTATGCTATCAGGTCAAAATATTTGAAATGAATTCTTGCAAATTATATCGGTTATTGTATTTATAGTCGTCTATAGAAAGGAAGTATAGGCTACTAGTTTTCCGGTATCCGGTTGTATTGTAAAAATAAAGAAGAAAAAATTACAAATGATTTTAAAAATCGTGCAAAAATATATTTAAATAAAATAATAATAAAAAAGTACACATCAGAATGGTCTTAAATCTAATTTATACATTTCATAACAAAGATGAACATAATAATATGTATAAATGTATAATATATATTACACATACAAATTATATTATGTAGTGTATGTAATACTATGTATTTTAATTTTGTAGGTACGTATAATATAGTTATTTACTGTAATAATAGATACGCCTTACATAATACACTAAAAGAATAATTATTGTACATTTGTACGTACTTATTTATGTTAATTGTCATATTAAATACGTACATATTTTTTACCATAGTGTATTACTGTGTCTAATAGCGATAATAGATTAATTAATAATTTAGACTAAAAATTAAGCTTGTTATGCTACGAAAAATAATTCTTGTTTATTAAATTAAATGTGTATTTGCTACAGCCTGAATAAGTATTTTAATCTAAAGATACAAAGAACGCCAAATTGTTTATTGTCATTTATTTTGTATTTAAAAATAATTTTATCAATAACATTTTAATTTTATAAGTATACGTCTAAGATAATTTGTTTATCAATGTTATAAAAATTATACTGTTTATTTATATTACAAGTTATAATACACGAGGGAATGAAAAATATTGAACATTTTGAGTTACATATTTTTGAATTTTATAATGTTTACAATCATTACTAGTAATACTCAATTAGTTCTCCATAAATATTAAACAAATAATTTCAAATAGTTTCATCAATAACTATCATAGAAACATGATTTAACCTAATACTTATTTCAAATAAACTATTTTAATTTGTAAAAAGTTATTATTTTTATTCAATACTGATGTACAGTAGTAATCCAATAATCTATAAGTATATAAGATGCGAAAACGAGAACGGATACAAGAATCGAATTTGGTGGAGGGGATTTACACGAGGGTGCATATTTATGTAATATATTTTATTTTAGAAACCAAAAACACAAAGAAAATATTTCAAAAGTATGTAAATAAAGTACCAATCACGTTTATTGGATAATAATATCAATTTTATAATATAATCTAAGTATGTCTTAATAAAGTTTAATAGAAGTTCAGGTCCTCAAGTAGGTAT